AAAATCCAGAATATATTATTGTTTCTCAGCAATAGTGTATCTGTGAACAAAATGTTCAAATCAAAATGTGAAATTGAAGGCTTAGGTAAAGAAAAAGGTTCCTTTTGAAGCGCAGAAATAACCAGACTATAACTCAAAGTGAAAACATAATAAGAATAAAGAGTTTGTTTCAACGTCTTAAGAAGCCTTTTCATCTCTCAAGAAACAGGTGAAAAGAAAAGGCTTCTCTGAATTTTCGATCTGTTTTATACAGGTACTGTAGATCACATCATACAATTAACATTGAAAAGCAGAAATGCCTAATATGGCAAAAATCTACAAATCTTCTTGTCTGTGGCAGACAACACAAGATAACACATCTCAGTGACCACTAGGCAGCCTTTGATAAATGTTAGTTTCCCTTGTTGTGTTTTGGGTTTGTTTATATAAATATATCCTGAACGCAGTTGAACATAACACTAGGAATGCGTTTAATTTAACTTTTACTTGAACAGTTATTAAGCAGTTCCTTCCCAGGTCAGCCATCTCTGATCTCACCTTAGCTTACTCTAGGGACTGTCTCACAATTACTAGACTAACTAAAACACAAAGGGAGTTTGTTATACTGTAACTACCTGTCATGAGATCCTTGTGGTAAAAAAATGTTAGCTTATTTGCTTCTGAATTTCAGGTTTTCAGACAACTAACAAAACAAACTGTTTGACACCTAATATTTATTTAGCGTATGTGCAAAGAAAGACAGACTTCTGCAAAAGCAGTTTATGTTTTTAATTCTGCAACTGCATACGTGTATATGACTTTATAAAACAGTCTAAAATTATTTTACTAAGGCATGGATATGTTTCCAATACTTCAATTTCTCTGTTGTTTTTTTTGAGAAGTAAAGATGAAAGAGTAACACACTGTACAACATAGAAAACAATAAGAAATGTATTTTCTACTACTGTACCTCAATTTAATGGCACTTTTTGGGAATTCTTACTGTAGACACTGCACAGCAATATTAATAAAATGAAAAAATAAAAGTCTAGTACCATATCCCTTGCCAGCCATGAGAGTTATGTCCCCGAATAACCCTGAATTATACATTTAAGGATTTTTTCTAAAGTTCAACAATTTTGATTCCTTCTTAACCACGAGATTACCCTCTACAAGTGAATTTACTTGAGACAAGCAATTAATCGTACTGAAATTACTAGTTTTCTGAACACAACACTTACAAGATTCAATAAGTTCGGAACGCTGCAGTCAGACTCCACACTCACTCCAGACAATGGCATGTTATCTCTCTATCCTATCTTTTACCCCACTGGATCCCTGTCCCTTCCCTGGAAAAGCTTGAAATTCCCACCTGGTGTGCAGATATCCTCACTTTGTGCTCTATATGTGCTCTAACACAGAAGGAATAACCAATTAAGATTAATAACCAAGTAAGATTTCAGGTGGGCCAAGTTCCCAAGGTACCACTGCCACTCTGAGGACTAAGAGACACACTGTCATGATTGTAGTCCCTCCCCCTTAAGGGCGCTATGACTCTTTTACTTCTGACCTGCTTTTGTGCACCTGCTCCCTGTTCCAGCCTCCTTCCAGCCCCACTTAAAAGCCAGATGCTGACGTTAATCTGGGCTCTGCTCTGATTTCCGCACCAGGCGAGTCCGGGACCTGGAAGCGCCTGGTCCCGTTTAGGTTTTATTTTCTGTTCCTGTTCCCCGCCGGTTCTGATCCGGTTACTGTTTTTAATCATCTGTCTAGGACAGACCGCCCAGCTTTGGACTTTTTCCTCCTTTTGGATTCTCCTTTGGACTTCTTCCTGGATTGTGTGCCTTGGCCACACCTCCCCCAAACACCAGCGCACCCAG